CTAATCCTGTGGCTTAGAATTTCTTCACTGTTATGTCAACCTGCCATAATGGACTATCTTACTCTCCATCCTTACTTTTATTTATTTTGAGAGAGAGAGAGAAGAGAGAGAACGAGAGAGCGAGAGAGAGAGAGAGAGAGAGAGAACAAGCAGGGGAGGGGCAGACAGAAGGAGAGATAGAATCCCAAGCAGACTATACAATCATTGCAAAGCCCGACATGGGGCTCGAACTCACAAACTGTGAGATCGTGACCTTAGCCAAGATCAAGAGTCAGATGCTTAACTGACTGCGCCACCCAGGCGCCCCTCTCCATCCTTACTTTTAATGCCTATATTAACAACACCTGAATCTGACGCTTCCTTTGGTATCTTGGCTTGGCCACCCAACTGCCCTCAGAATCCTTATCCTGATTATAAGGATTTGGCATCCTCTTGCCTGGTCTACCTTTGTTATGATAGGATGTCCTACACAATGAAGGGCCAAATCCAGCTGAAAGGAGGCATCACTGAGAAATAAACACCTTCCACCCCCAATGGGAACATTTAAGCTGTGTCATAAACTTGTCAGTTGCAGTATGTGTTAATCTACAGGACACAATTAGCCTGAAAAATATGTTTTATTAACTTAAACAGTGGATACCACCAAGAATTTTGGGAAAATGGGCCCCTTTTGTCATACTTCCCCCTTGAAAAATTCATACTATAGGCCACCAGACACAATTGCTTTTCATGGAGCTCTGATACAAAGTCATTGAGGCACCTGGGTAGCTCATTTGGTTAAGCCCTTACTTCAGCTCAGGTCATGATCTTATGGTTCGTGAGTTCGAGCCCTGTGTCAGGCTCCGTGCTGACAGCTGGAGCCTGGAGCTTGCTTTGGATTCTGTGTCTCCCTCTCTCTCTCTGCCCCTCCCCTGCTCATGCTCTTTCTCTCTCAAAAATAAACATTTAAAAAGTTAAAACAACAACAATAAAAGCCTTAATTGTTTGAAAGGATGAAAAGTATCATTTACCTTTATCCCAAAGCTTCCATTTTCCAGATAGGAAAACTAAGGCCCAGAGTGGGCAATGTTAATGAGTATAAAAACACATAATGTTTACTGACAGCGTATTATGTACCAGGTACTATTTGCCCTAAGCTTTTTGAATACATACGTTTATCGAATACATACGTATATATCACTCAACCACAAATCCAACACGCTCCTTTCACTTTCTTATATACTTACCCCCCTGCAGTCTAGATTTTTCTTTCTGCTTGTGAATTCCATAGACAGACAGGATGGACAATTCTGATAATTCTTTCAACTTAGTCATGGTGTCCTCTGTGGCCCAGGAGGGTAAAGTGAAATTGTGAACACTCTGTAGCAGAGAAAAAGGGAAGAAAATGTGTATTTTTATTTGTTAACTTTTTTGTCCTCTTTCCACCACAAGAACTCCTGGGTCTAGGCTTTCTTGTCCTGACATTCGTCTCTAGGAAACCTTTCCTTTGTGATAAGTAGTGGTATTAATTTTCAGAAGAAAAATTCACAGGGACTAATTTGCCCCTTCCTACCAAGCCCATAGCTTTTGGCTTAACTGTGGGTCCAAAGGATGATTCCTATTTTGCAAAGTAAGGGTGAGATAGGGTAAAAATGTACCTCATTCCTTTATGAAAGGTTTAGAAATCTATTAACCTGTGGGGAAGGTGACACTGACAAGGTTTGATGATGTTTTCCTCAAAGCTGAATGAACGTCCTGAGAGGATAGCTGGGAGAGGCAATATATTTCTGGAACCTTCAGTACCAGACCCCCACTCCCATTAGCTCCAGTTCACTGACTCCTGAGAAAGTGCACTGTATATACAGTAGACTCTTTGTGAAACTTTTTAAACGGATGAACAAGCTGTATAGCATGGTGGGTAAAGGCTTTGTGCCAATATTTATTACTTGCTATGAAAAACTGATTAAGACTCCCCCAGATTCGAAACAGGAGAGACAGAGAGACAGAGAATTCTTGAAAGAGGAGATCAAAGTGGAGTGGCCCAGAGAGGAAATAAGTGGGAGGGAAGAGAAAAGGAAACCACGCACCACACCCACATTATGGAACAGCTCAAATCAACCCAGGGTAAGGAAGAAAGAAAAGAAATCAAGACTTGAACCAAAATGTGGGCTCTTGTCCCCACTAAGGAGTCTTTTGTAAAGCTAACGAATCTTCCTTGAAACAGGGGCTAATGATAAAGTGAAAATATTGGGAGAGTCGTGTGTACTTTTAGGCAATGAACTCGATCATGAAAGGGGGCAAACTGTGTCATTTGTTACTAAGATCAACTATGAAAGTAATTGCTGTCCCCAGACATTCATGATGGCCTCAAGATCAGAGGTGGCTGTAAATCATGTGGGTGGTCAGAATTTTGCCCCAGGATTCAGGGAGCCTGGTAGGGAAAACAGGATTATAGAGTACCCCTTTGGGCCAGTAGGTGGTGCATAGTGAGTGAAAAATACCATGTAGGCTTGAAAACCTCAAAGGTCATTGATCCAGCTACAGAGTTTATTTCGTATGCATTGTACCGCAAGGAAGAGATTCCCGATAAACCAATTTCAATAACCTGGTTTCAAGTTGGCTTGCTTATTTCTATATCCAGAAATGAGGTGCCTTTTTTCCCCTGTCTATTCAATAACATTGCTGCTTTCATTAAAATCCATGACAGGAGCCCAGCATTCCTGAGTGACTGAAAAATAAGTACACGGCAAGGCACAGAAGAAAAGCAATTTTGCGTGCAATTTTCTAAAGGGTGAAAACATAAATAATGGAGAGAAAAAGTCAGAATTTTTAAGTTCATATAAATAAGTCTTGAATTATGTTTCAATGTCAAAGGAAGCATAAGTAACATATCTGCCAAAAAGTGAAAGAAAATGTATTCATCTGTCTCAAAATAGGCAGGGGTCATAAAATCAGATTGCAGGTTAATCTTTGATAATTTTCCTTTTACCTCACAAAATAAAGGGTCATAGACTTTAGTCCACATTCCAAAAAGGTCCCGGGTATGGTATCCTGTAAATGTTGGCAAGGTTTCTATAAAATCCTGAAACACACACAGAGGGAGAAAACATTTCTACATTAGAGACTCTTAATTTCAGCATTATGAATATTTGGGGCTAATTTTGTTGTGGGGAGTGCCCTATGTTTTGTAGGACATTTGGCTGTCTCCCTGACCTGTATCTACCAGATGAACAGCATGGCATCATCCCTCATCCCTCAGCTGTGACAACCCAAAGTGTCTCCAAACATTCCCAATGTTCCCTGTGGGGCAAATTTGCCGCCATTGAGAGCTGTGCTGTTCTTCACATGAAAGTGAACCTGGAATATTGGCTGTGGTAATACAAACCTGAAGAATTTTATGAACGCTAATTGATTACTTAAAAAAAAATTTTTTTAACATTTATTTATTATTGAGAGCTCAACAGAGAGACACAGAGCGTGAGGGGGAGAGGGACAGAGAGAGAGGGAGACACAGAATCCGAAGCAGCTCCAGGCTCTGAGCTGTCAGCACAGAGCCCGACGCGGGGCTCGAACTCACTAACTGCGAGATCATGACCTGAGCTGAACTCGGTCGCCCAACCAACTGAGCCACCCAGGCACCCCACTAATTGATTAGTTTTAATGATTACATTAAAATGTGGGCACATGCTGGCTTACTGCCACGTGCTCCTGGTTTGTCTTGGAACCAGGCCAAGTGTACTACCTCAAATGTTTTTTTGGAAATAGGTGAAGTATAACTCACATATACAAATGACTGGTCAAGGTGGGAAGGGGAAGCAGGTCTTAGGCCAACACACCTCAGGAATATACAGCAGAAACTGGACCTGATATCTGGCAATCAATCAAATTTGGGAGGGATGCACACATTTCTCTAGATTCTGGATTATTCTTGTATTGTCATGATAATGACACCTACTGTTCAGCTACCTGCCTGATGGATTTGGCAGCAATTTCTGGGAATCCTTTTGAAAGATATTATATGGTGGATAATTTTCTAGGAAAATATAATTTGCCAATATTAACCTAAACAAATCTTCTTAAAATAAATTAATTATTAAAGATCCCCCCTCTAAATGAAACGAAACCAAACCAAGTAACAGCTCTGGGGCCAGATAACTTTACAGAGGAATTCTATCAAGATTTTTAAGAGTAAGTTATTCTAATGCTATTTTAACTGTTATAGAGTGTAGAAAAAGAAAAAAAGAACAAACTTCCAAAACATTTTTCTGAGTAAGTGCAACACTGACACTGACAAAAGACTGGCCAGAAAACTATAGTCCAATGGTGCTTTGAATATGAATACAAAAGGTCTAAGTAACATATTAACAAATAATTCAATATCCAAAGAAAGGGCTTGATTCTAGACATGTAAAGATGACTCAATAGTAGCAAATCTATGAAAATAATTAATCTTAGTAATTGATCCAAGGAGTAAAATAACTTAATTATATTTAAATAATGTTAAAAAGACTTTTCAAAAAATTAAACACCACTATTGATTAAAAACAATCAACAAAATAGGAAAGATAGCTAGTTCCTTAACTTGATACAAATATCTTTATTTGGTCCTAAAGCCAACATGCTTAATAGATAAAAAATAAGACAAAGATGTCCTCTGCCAATACTATTATGTCATACTGTACTTTAAGTATTGGCCAGTGCAAATATGCACAAGAAATCAGAGGCATAAATATTGGAAAAATAGAGATAAGCCATATTTGTTTGCAGATGTTATAAGCCTGGAGCAAACTTAACAATAAATGTAAAGACTTAAATGAAGAAAACCTTAAAAAATTCCTAAAGATAAGGGGCGCCTGGGTGACTCATTTGGCTAAGCATCCAACTCTTGATTTTGGCTCACAGGTTCATGAGTTCGATCCCTGCATCAGGCTCCTGATGCTGATAGTGCAGAGACTGCTTGGGATTCTTTCTCTCTCTCATCTCTGCCCCTCCCGTGCATGCTCTCTCTCTCAAAATAAATAAATAGACTTGAAAAAAAAATCTTGAAGATGAGAACAAATAGGAACATGTACCATGTTCTTAGAAAGGAAGACTCAATATCATAGAATTGCAAATTCTCCGAGTTAATATATAAATTTAAATCTGACTCCAATAAAAACACTAAAAAGTGAAAAAAAAAGTGGTTTTGGAACTCAGACAAGTGGACTCTAAAGTTCACAAAGAAAATAAAAACATAGTCATGAAAAACCAGAAAAGTAGAGAGTGAAGGGTGACAAGCCTTTTAGATATTAAAGCCTGTATAAATGTTACTAAGTGTAACAGCATAGTTTTGGCTAATGAAACGTAAAAATAATTGAATAAAAATTCCAGCTACAGACCACATACACTGGGGAATTTTAATATATATAATAAGAAAAAGGTGGGAAAAAGAGGAACTGTTCAATAAATAGTGACAGGGTGATTAGGGAAATATGGAAAAACGTAAGCAGGTTACAAATTTCGCAGCTCACACCAGCATAAACTATAAATGGGTCCACTATGTAAATGTATGATAGGGTGGAATTAGAAGAAAACATTGAAGACTTCCTTTAATACCTAGGAGTGGGAAAAACTTTTCTAAATATGACTACAAATATACAAACCATATATGAACGCATCAGCACACTTAAGATTATGCCCTAGCAAAAACACTGTAAACAACGTCAATAGGCAAACAATAGAAATAATGCCCTTTATGGAACAGGAAAAAATGTCAAAATACAGGGAGAAATCTCCTAAAATTTATAGAAAAGAGAAAAGCAATAACTCAAAGGATAAATGGTAAAGGGATATGAAGACAACAAGAAATACAAAAGACATTTAACTAGATAAAGATATCCAAAGTTCACTCATCATAAGAGAAAAGTACTATAGCACAATGCTCTATAAAGATGATGGTACTGGGCTTCCTTGTCTTGTTCCTGACTTTAGAGGGGATGCTTCTAATGATAACATTTTTTAACATACAGATTGGCAAATCTCCTTAAAGTTGTCTACACATTGTTGGCAAGGCTATAGAGAAACAGGCAATCTTGTGCATTGTTGATAGGGGTAGCCATTAGTATAATCACTTTGGAGGATATTTTGATAATATTTCCAATTGCCCCAGATTTTCTACTTCTGGGATACTATTCCTTTTTTTTTTTTTTTTAAGTTTATTTATTTTTGGGACAGAGAGAGACAGAGCATGAACGGGGGAGGGGCAGAGAGAGAGGGAGACACAGAATCGGAAACAGGCTCCAGGCTCTGAGCCATCAGCCCAGAGCCTGACGCGGGGCTCGAACTCACGGACCGCGAGATCGTGACCTGGCTGAAGTCGGACGCTTAACCGACTGCGCCACCCAGGCGCCCCATGGGATACTATTCCACAGATATTCTTGCGAAATGATTTAGATGCACAAGATATTCATACAGACTGTAAATGACTGGAAATGACTCACTTGTCTATCAATATGAACTGGTTAGAGAAAGTATGGGAGGTCCATGAATTCAAATGCAGTTATAAAAAAATGAGGAAACTCTTTATGTACACATATAGAAATATTTCTAAGATCTATTGTTAATTGAAAAAAAACCCAAAGTGTCCAACCTTGTGAATATAGTATACCACTTTTGTGTAGCAAAGAGGAAACCACCAAAATATATTCGTATTTATTTGCATATGCATAAAGAAACTGCAAGACTTTATAAGAAAATACTACCAGCAATTACCTGTGGGGTCTTTAAGAGACTTTCCACTGTATTTAATGTATTAGAGATTCAAAATATTATTTTTTCTTAAAAATACTTTTTAACGTTTATTTAGTTTTGAGAGACAGAGAGAGAGCACAAGTGGGGAAGGGGCAAGGAGAGAGTAAGACATAGAATGCAAAGCTCTGAGCTGTCAGCACAGAGACCGATGTGGGGCTTGAACCCACAAACCATGAGATCATGACCTGAGCTGAAGTCGGATGTTTAACCAACTAACCCACCCAGGTGCCCCCAAAATATTTTTAAAAGTATGAAGCATTATATCTATCTTTTGCATAGTATTAAAAAGGGGTATTTTGCAAAGTGGAAACATAAAATAAAAAAGATTATCCTTTATGTTTGAAGATAAATGGTCCCAACCCCTCAACCTCAATAAGGCAGATCATTTTAGACTTTCATTTATTCTGACCTAGCTATGCAATTTCGTCTGGCTCCTTCAGACACACGGGTATAGGATTAGAAAGGGACTGGCTTCGTTATTAGTTTGTGGTCTCACACAGGGAAGGGGACCGGGTAGAGATGACTGACCCTCACTAAACATTTTAACCCATTGCTATAACCAGCCACTGGCAGACATATTCCTCCCACATGTTTAAGAAGCTGGAGTTTCATCCTTTGTCTTTGGCCCTTTCACTCCTGCACACCACTAAGTGACACCATTTTTTAACCTTATAAGGATGCAGCTTCTTCTGGAATTCCTCCGATTTGAGAGTCTCATCCTTAAGTTCTTTAAACCGAGGGCAGTCCCCGAAAGGCAGGTACAGCAACTGAGGACAAAAGAAAAATCATAAATTCTTTGTTGGAAGAACTTTTCACTAAAGAAGCAATAGACATATTTTAAGCCTCATTAGGTACAAAGCGACCTGAATAAAAGATTAAAATGTGTTTTCAGCTGAAAGGAAATTCTAAAATTGAGGAAAAGGAGATAAATGGTCTATAGGTCTTAAAGAGTAGGATATGTACCCAGAACTGAAAAGCTTTTTTTTTTCTTCTTTCATGAATTTGCCTAAGTAGGACTATATCATTGGTAAAAGAGTCACACTTCGTGGTTTTCCATGTTGATATGATTATCTTGCTTCCTACTGGACCTCTTTCATTTCTAGCACAAATTGCACATGTATGTGCACATGCAACCCCTCCCCCCCCACCCCACATAAGTATGGAGAAATGAATAAGAGGTTCTGGAAAGAATCTTAAGAGATTGATTAACCATTCATTGACTTGGATTCTTGCAAGTTCGCAGGCTGTTAAAATAAGGGCATATACTAAATATGTAGAAAAATACATTTAAAAACCCATTATGAGGACAAAGGGATGAGTTTAAATTCAACAATCTTTTGTAGTCTTAATATAACCTACAGGTTGGTGACTCTTCAGCTTATTTTGCTGCTCTGACTTTTCACTTGTGGCTGGTCTCGTATTTCCAGCCTTTGGTGGACATCACTACTTGGATGTTTCTTTCTCCTCAAGTTTAACATGTACAAAACTGAACTCAACTTCATTTTTAACCATTTTACTTCTGTAATCTCCTTACTTTTGCAATGGTAACATTTATCATCCTATTTCATAGACTACTCAGTTGTTTGTTTACTTTCAAAATATATCCAAAATAGACCCCTCTTCATTTCATTCATTGTTCCCTCCCAGTCCAAACCACTGTAACCTGTGTTTCAGCTAATGCAAGGGCCTGCTATTTGGTCAGTAGGCATCCACTCTTTCTACCTTCACAATTCATTCTCCACACTGCAGTTACTCTAATCCTTTTCACATCATCTATCTATCTATCTATCTATCTATCTATCTATCTATCTATCTCTGAGAGAGACAGAGACAGCATGGGCGGAGGCGGGGTAGAAAGCGAGCAAGAGAGAACCACAAGCAGGCTCTGCACTGACAGCACAGAGCGCGATGTAGGGCTTGAACTCATGAAACCATGATTTCACAACCTGAGCCGAAACCAAGAGTTAGACATTTAACTGACTGAGCCACCCCAGGTCCCTCGCGTTTCATTTTTATAAACACAAATCTTTCCAAAGCATCAATCAGACCACACCATTCTGCAGTTTATAACTTTCACTGGCTTTCATCTTACTTGCTAGAATCCAAATTCAGCTAACTCTAGAGATCTCGTTGCCCTGCTTTCCTGCTACTGGCCCTTCACCCACTCCTCTCCAGCAACACTGTCGGCCTCCTTACTATCCCCTGAGCTCACAGGCTTGGGGGCGCTGCAGACGGTCCCCTGCCTGAGACTGTGCCCCCAGTGACTCTCACCAGCCTCTTCTAGCCATTCTTTCTTGCTTTATCTCCTTCAAAGACCTCATCGCCATTTGAAATAGTTACTATTTTTTACTTCTTTATCATCTGTTTCCTATAAAATACAAACTTGAGGACAGTAGGATCTTGTCTCTCTTGTTCACTGCTGTGTTGACATGCCTCGAACAGAGCCTGGCATATGAGTAGCTACTCAGGAAACTTGTTTTAATAACTTGCTTCCCGACTCTGTCTCATTTGTCTTACTTTGCTTTCTTTCCTCTAATGTCTTTAGCATCTAATTTCAGACCTGCATCTCCTCATTGCTGAATTGCTTCCCCAGATATTCTCAGATGCTCCAGTATCCTTTGCTTCCCAACCACTGTCAGACAGGTGCCTCAGACCACCACTTATCATGTGTGCATGGTACTGAAGAATGAACGTGCACAGGTTTCTTTTATGTCTGCTGCTTTACATCTTCATTTCCCTGCATGACTTTCTAATTTTTCCACAGAACGAATGACACTGCGAAGGGAAAAGGGACAGGACTGTTCATTTAAAGGCCTAGGTTTCAATGAATTACTCAACCTTCCTAGTCTTTAGTTTTCTCATCCCACACATTGAAATGAGAGAGGCTGAAAATAAGTGGGATAATCACCTAAACATCTGACCAGCATTTTGCAATTAACAAAATTTTTCATTTCTTAACCAACTGGGTTTTCATGAATCGTCATGAAATAGTTAGGTGGGTGCTGTTGTTCCCACGTTACAGAAAGGGACACTGATGCGGGCGGGGGGGGGGGTGACTTGAGGTCAAGTGTCTGAAATGGTAGTTGGCTCTCAGACCTAGGTTTCTCCAACTTTAAATGCAGCCTTCCTTCTTTTTTTCAGTTTATTTATTTGGGAGGAGGGGGCAGTGGGGAGGGGTAGAGAGAGAGGATCCCAAACAGGCTCCATGCTGTCAGCGCAGAGCCTGACATGGGGCTCGATCTCATGAACCATAAGATGATGACCTGAGCTGAAATCAAGAGTCAGATGCTTAACTGATGGAGCCACCCAGGCACCCCTAATGAAGCCCTCCTATATCACACTGCCACTTAGTCCCAAGATTCCCCCTGGCTATTCAATTTGGATTCTTTAATCTGTGTCCAATATAGTTATTCAGACATTTTCATTCTTTCTAAATACGAACTCTAGACACAGAAGGGCAAGCCCTCTGTATATTCACCCACTGCCATGTTTTGGGGCTGCTTTCTTCTCCTTTCCTTCCTTCCTCCAAGGTCTGGTGTGAGCTGTCACTCCCTCCACGAAGACTGTCATTACGGGCTGCCCTGTGGCAGCTACATGTGTGTGTTTCTCTGGGCTCCTTCAGCACGGGCAGCTTATACTTGGATCATCAACCCACCACTTGTATTGTGGTCTGCACGTGTAACACATGCGAGTCTTTGTAATCAAGTGGATGATAAATTAGGGAAGGAACCTGGCCTTATATTTCTCTTTGGCACTTAGCACAGCTCTGGGAATAACTGTGTGTTGATTGATTTTGTCAGATTTCTTAGCTGATGTTAGAACTGTTTTCATCTTAGCACGTAGCTGGAAGCCATGATAATCTTGCTTGCTTCTCTCTCCCTCGCTCTCCTTGTTTCTCTTTTCCTCTTCTAATAGCTCCTATATTCTCTTTACTACATAATTTAATTACTAGCTTTCAGGATTAAGGGTTAAACAGCTACCTTGGTCTGCACCGGCTAATTTGGTTCTGCTGTCCAGTGTCTATCTTTGCAGAAAAGGCTGTGGCAAATGTGATTTTTTTTTTTCTTTTTGGAAGACAATATTCACCAACTCCTAAGAACACTGATCATCATAATATTTTACTCCTGATTCTGTTGAAGAAAAAGAGGTACAAATAAATCATCCTATCTTTTCAGGAAACATAAGAACGACTGGTTAAAGTAGAGTTACCTGGAGTGAGGTTGACAGGCTCAGGCTGTTTCTACAAAGTATTTGGGAAATATTCTTACGTCATTAGAGGCAACAGTTCAGTCAAATGTCTAGGAGTATTGGCAGGGCAAAGAGGACAGTGGCCTGCCCCAGGGGGTCTCTGGGCAACAATCCGGGTGCAGAAGTTGTGCTAAGCCCCAGCTACAGAGAAATGACATGGTCATGCTTACAATGTGACTGCGGGGAATCAGGATGGATTCCTTGTCCCAAACTATTTCCTTCATCTAGTCTTAAATCACTCATCTGGGAGATTAGTGAGATGTATTTAATACTATTAAAATAAAGCAATTCCTCTGAAAATGTTAAAGAGTTCTTGGTCCCTCCTATGCAGTGCAAATAAATTTGAGAGCCTCTCTTATATAGCCTCATTCAGGCAGCTTGGTTTATGGTACTGGTTCTCACACTCAGCTGTCCACTGGAAACATCTAGGAAGATTATTTTTTTTTTTTAATTTTTTTTTTCAACATTTATTTATTTTTGGGACAGAGAGAGACAGAGCATGAACGGGGGAGGGGCAGAGAGAGAGGGAGACACAGAATCGGAAACAGGCTCCAGGCTCTGAGCCATCAGCCCAGAGCCTGACGCGGGGCTCGAACTCACGGACCGCGAGATCGTGACCTGGCTGAAGTTGGACGCTTAACCGACTGCGCCACCCAGGCGCCCCAAGGGAGATTATTTTAAAAGTACTCATATCTGCATCCCAGCCTCAGATATTCTGATTTGTTGTGGAAGTGCCCTAGGTGCCAGGATTTAAAACATTCTCAGGTAATTCTAATATAATAACTTTGAGAACCACTATTTTTCAGGGAAGGAAATTGCTCTGGAATGACCCAGACCTGGTTCTAGTCCCAGTTGTGATGCTTACCAGCTTTGTGGCATTGAGCCCATTTTATTTATGTCTCTGAGTACTTATATCCCTGGATATAAAAGGAGAACACTTATATTGTCCATTCAAGATTGTTACAAAAGGTAATATGATGACATGTATAAAGTGCTAGTTACTAACTATGTACTCAAATCTTTCTTTTTTCCCCTACCTCGGAATGAGAGTTTCATGTGGGGATGGGTGTTTTGTAGGGAGAGAGGTCTTAGGATGTTCTGGAAGAAAGAGAACCCTTGGCGGGGCGCCAAAAGCCTGGGAATTGAAGGTAGAACAAGGGGAACCCCGTGTGTGTGCATGTGTGTGTGTGTGAAGATGGAAAGGGATGAACTGCCATTCGGTTAAAGAGTAGCACAACAAAGTCGATGATAAAGATCCAAGCTGAAATTCTGTTCCTACTCTCTATTGCCTGGGGCTTTCTGTGTCCTACTTTGTCCCTTGCACCTTTATTAGAAAAGGATTGAGATCGCACAGACCAAGCAGTGTCCAGACCTCCAAGCCCACAAGTACTGGACAACCTGCCTTCCTCCTCCTCAGCCCCAGGGGATGTCCTGGTTATCCCAGAATACTGACCCGATCTTCAGAAAGAGAGATTGTGTGCACTGGGATGGGCTGCCATGGTAGGCTGGGATTCCAGATGCTGATACCCTCTGGGGGAAATAGGCCTGCAAGGTTTGTCATAGCACTCATCAAAGTCCGGTCAACGTCCGTGCTTTGAATGTAAACCTAGAGTGGGGAAAATCAAAGGAGAATCCAACCAGTTGGAACTGTGGGTTTTCCACTGTGGAGTGAAGAGTATTTTTGAGAAAGGCCAGGACCCTCACACCAAAACATTAGCATCATGATCGTAGTATCTATGGAGATAGAGACAGTATGATGAGAATGCCAGATGGTATGTCAATAGCTGAATTGACAAAAGAGATCAATTAAGTGGTGGCTACTTGCCAAGCCAAAGTATTTGCCAATAGTTATCCATAAATTTTTGAACTTATTCATATTCATAAATTTTTTAGGAATAAAATGTTTGTATAAAGAGGAGTATATTTGTAAATGAGATCTCTGACTTGTATAAGTTCCTTGGAAAACAGGTAAAACACTTTCACAAATGCACCATTATGTTACATCCTATCAAGGAAAAACGTTTCCACTCTTGGATCCCCAACTTACCTGTTCACGTTTGTAGGACTCATTCAAAAATTTTCTATATCTTTGCCTTATATACCGTCCAAGTTCATAATGCTGTTCCATGCCCAGCTATGAGAACAAATAAAAGCAAAAATCAGTGAAAGTAAATTCTGGAATCTTATGTGTGAGTCTCATCTCTCCTCACTGAATGAGCGGAGTAAATAACGGTGCACTTCAATAGTTCAACAAAAACAACAACATATTTTTAAATGAAAACAAGAAAAGAGAGTTGTAATCTTTAGCCATGACTTCTGGAGAAAACTCATTCACCTTTATTAGCACTTAACATAGAGCCTTGCACACTTAATAGCTGGTGATTGATCTGATTTAAATAAATGGTTCATCTCTGGTGCAGTAGAATATCACTGGCTCATCTTTGTTGTAGAACATTCAAGAGAGCTCGTTGACCACTTGGTGGAGGTTTTGTGGAAGAAATTCAACCATCTGGTAAGAAGTTGGACTTGATGAATCTGAAGATCACTTTTTTCTCATTGTTGCATTTATTTTTTGAGACAGTTCAAACGGGGGACATGCAGAGAGAGAGACGGAGGGTATGGGGTGGGAACAGAGGATCTGAAGTGGGCTCTGAGCTGACAGCAGTGAGCCTGATGCGGGGCTTTGAACTCGGGAACTGCGAGATCATGACCTGAGCCAAAGTCGGATGCTCAACCAACTGAGCCACCCAGGGGCCCCTGAAGATCACTTTTAACTTCTAGGTGTAATGATTTATTATCTGCACAGTTTATTTATGCCTGGTTCATGAAAAACTAGAGCCTCCTACCCAAAATGTGGTCTGGGGATCAACAGTATTAGCATCACTTGGGAGTATGTTAGAAACCCAATTCTTAGGACTCACCTTGATCTACTGAGCCAGAATCTTCGGGGGGGGGGGGACATGGAGCTCAGGAACCTGTTTTTAACAAGCTTACTAAGATTCTGATGGCCAATAACCATTGAGGAGTGTTGCTTTAGTTCAGTGATCCTCAAGCATTACTGTGCATCAGAAGCAAAATTATCTAGCGGTTCTTGTTGAAATGCAGATGACTCAGCACTTCCGCCAGAGATTCCTGCTCATTAGATCCTGGGGTGGCCCTGGAATCTGCATTTCAACAAGTGCCCTGAGTGATTCAGATCCATGTAGTAGAGTGCCATGCTTTGAGAAACACTGCATTCGAGTCCATCTTTAATCCCAAGTTTTACCAGAGCCTCAGGAGTCAGAGAGGATATGGTCACTATAGCTCAGCTTGGTCCCACTTGTTCATTTGCTTCTACTCCTAGATACCATGATCATTACCACCTCCCTAGGATGAGGAAGCAGGTGTGAAAAGAGTCAGGTGTGCTTTAATTTTTGCTAGTTTCCTGGGTGATGCCAGTAGCTAAAGAAGCAGGTACTTTGGACCTAATTTGTTGCATTAACTTACAGCTGAATTTTGAAGAAACAGTCATCTTCTACAGAGCAGGGGATTTCAAACTCAGCATTCCCAGAATCACCTGGAGGATTCATTAAGACAAAAGCTCCCAGAATTGAACCCCATAGTTTCTGGTTCAGTCGGGGAGGGCCAGAGAACTAACATTTATGACAAGTTTTAAGTGATGGTGATGTTGCTCATCCAGAGACCACACTTTGAGAGCCAGTGACCTAGACAGCCATCACTCGGTCATTATGTAGATTGGAAGTGCCTGGCCAAGGGAGGAATTTGAGCTCTAGAACCTTGCTACTTCATGTACCAGCACCATTGGTATCACCTTGGAGTATGTTAGAAATGAAGACTCTTAGGCCCATGTCAGACTGGCTGAATTAGAATCTGCATTTTTTCCCCAAATGTCATTGAGATACAATTGACACATATCACTGTATAAGCTTAAGGTATGCAGCATAATGGTTTGGTTTACATACAATGTGAAATGATCACTGGTATAAATTTAGTTAGCATTTCATACAGATACAATAAAAAGAGAAAGCAAAAAGAAAAAAAAAATTGCTTTCCCTTGTAATGGGAACTTTTGGGATCTCCTCTCTTAACAACTTTCCTATATATCATAGAATATCATAGAGCAGTTTTACCCATAGTCATTGTGCTGTAAATTATATCCCTAGTACTTATTTACCTTGTAACTAGAAGTTTGTACCTTTTGATCCCCCTTTTCCCAACCTCCCTCCCCCTACTTCCTGCCTCTGGTAACACAAATCTGATCCCTTTTTCTAGGAGTTTGGTTTTTAAAAATTTTTTTAAATTCCACATATAAATAAGATCATACAGTATTTGTCTTCCTCTGTCTGGCTTAGATCACTTTACACAATGCCCTCAGGGTTCATCCATGTTGTCCCAAACACCAGGATCTAATAATTTTAAGGCTAAAAAATATTCCATATATATAATATATACCATCATATATACATATGTGTATGTGTGTATATATAGATATATATGTCTATATATATATTTCTTTATCCATTCATTTGTTGAGGGACACTTAGGTTGTTTCCATGTCTTGGCTCTTGTAAATAATGCTGCAATGAACATGGGGGTGCAGGTATCTTTGTGAATTAGTGTTTTCATTTCTTTTGAATATTAGAACCTGCATTTTAACAAGATGATACATTTACACTTGGCACTTGAGAAACACTGCTCTAGGAAAGTCTGATGGCTAGTCAAGAGACACCCAGAGGAGAATCCAGATCCCACAGTCTAAAAGTATTTTATCGTCTTACTGGAAAAGCAAGCAAGGGAACAGGACTCTTCACACCGCCACAGGTACTAAGGACTAGTGCTGGGTTTTTGCTACCGTTCTCTCTTTTAAGGAGCCACAAGCTGGGTAGGCTATGGTGGGAGGAGCTCAGACCTGGGAGCCAAAAGATACTGACCTCAAATAGCCTCAGTGGGATTTCTCCTCTATGAAGCAACATGGTTGAGTTAGGGAAGTGATTCTCAGCCTTGGCTGCACATTAGAGTCAAATGCTCAACTGAGGAGCTTCTCAAAATCCCAACGTCCAGGCCACATCTTAGATGAATCAAATAAGAACCACCCAGACAGACATCAATATTTTTTAAAGCTCTCCAAATAATCTCAATTTTTAGCCACGATTGAGGTACACTGGTTTAAAAAAAAATTTTTTTTAACATTTATTTTTGAGAGACAGAGAGAGAGCACAAGCAGGAGAGGGGCAGAGAGAGAGGGAGACACAGAATCTGAAGCAGGCTCCAGGCTCTGAGCTGTCAGCACAGAGCCTGACATGGGGCTCGAATCCACGAACCATGAGATCATGACCTGAGCTGAAGTCAGATGCCTAACCAACTGAGCCACCCAGGCACCCTGAGATCCACTGGTTTAAATGTTCCGTTAAATGTTTAGAGATTTTTGACTCTAAACATTCTATGAGATTTTCTTAATGTATTTAAACTGCTTTGGTCGGGACAGAAGCAACACCTGCGGCCTCATGGCCCCAAACAGGCGCCATCCACTCTTGCAAGGGAAGGGGGTGGGGCACTGGAGTGGTGACTACAGACGCCTTTGCCCTCCTCCCCTTCACCTTCTCCTTTGGTGCTCTTCAGGGAGCAGGGCTCCCTATGTTTAACCGACCGCTTATCAGGAAGGCTCAATCCCAGTGTACATAGCTGATAAAAAAAATCAAATTTGGTATGGGCATTTGCAGAGGAATTCTGTTTTCCTAACCCTGCTGATTCAGTTTATCGACTACAAGATTATTTTCTACTTTCTCAGGTGGAGGCTGAGAAACTCGGGGGGCTGGCCTCCAAGCATTTGTTGGCTCTCTTCAGCACCTTTAAGTTCATGTATTCATCTGTGGCCATGCACAGCTCTCATGCTTCAATAAAGCCAAACAGGGTAAAAAAAAAAAATTAAAACTGGCTATTTTATACAATTTTCCCACAGTTACTTGTCACTAGGGTGATCTGGTCATAATGAGAAATTACTGAAATTAAACATTATTGCCTCTCCTTCCACAATCAAAACACATTTTAGACTTTAAAAAATTTTTTTTTTTCAACGTTTATTTATTTTTGGGACAGAGAGAGACAGAGCATGAACGGGGGAGGAGCAGAGAGAGAGGGAGACACAGAATCAGAAACAGGCTCCAGGCTCTGAGCCATCAGCCCAGAGCCCGATGCGGGGCTCGAACTCACGGACCGCGAGATCGTGACCTGGCTGAAGTCGGACGCTTAACCGACTGCGCCACCCAGGCGCCCCAAAGACTTTTTAGATCCTAAGCAACTGTGCAAAATACTCCTCCAGATCTGAGTAACTAAAGTAGTTGTATGGCTTCAATATATTACAGACCCCACACAGTTTAATTTCCCTTAAGACTTATCGGCAATCTTTAGCTAACAATTCAACCAACCTGAGTGAGTTGGCCAAATCCTTGTGGCCATGAGGATTCTTTGATGGGGTCATTAGGAAAGGTTTCGATGGGACTTCGGTCTCCATGCCTAAATACCTGAAAAGAGGTCAAGACAGTAATGTTAAAAATTTCACTTCGGAGTTTTGCCTCTGCTCATCCTAATAGATTTTCTTTTAAACCACTGGTTCTCAACCTAGGCTGCTCATTGCAATCACCTGGGGCAATTAAAAAAATTCTGAGGACTGGATCCCCCTCCTAGTGATTTTGGTTTAATTAGTTTGGGATGTGGTCAGGACATCAGGATTTTAAAGATCTCCCCAGGTAAATCTCAGGTTATGAACCACTGTTTTTGTTTTTTCTTTCTTTCTTTTTTTTTTGGTGTTTATTTATTTTTGAGAGAGAAAGAGTGTGAGCAGGGGAGGGGCAGAGAGGGGGGGCGGGACACAGAATCCAAAGCAGGATCCAGGCTCTGAGCTGTCAGCACAGAGCCCGATGTGGGGCTTGAACCCACAACCGTGAGATCATGCCCTGGGCTGAAGTCGGACACTTAACAGAATGAACCACCCAGGTGCCTCAAGGACCACTGTTTTAAAACTTTTTTTTTTTTCAACGTTTATTTATTTTTGGGACAGAGAGAGACAGAGCATGAACGGGGGAGGGGCAGAGAGAGAGGGAGACACAGAATCGGAAACAGGCTCCAGGCTCCGAGCCATCAGCCCAGAGCCGGACGCGGGGCTCGAACTCACGGACAGCGAGATCGTGACCTGGCTGAAGTCGGACGCCCAACCGACAGCGCCACCCAGGCGCCCCAGGACCACTGTTTTAAGCTCACTAACACTTTTCTGTGTTTCAGGTAATGTAGGTAACAAGACGATCACTCATTAGAAAGCAGGCAAGCCACGTGTGGAGATTGGTTTGTATATCAGGGCAAGAAGGAACACAAAGCTTAGAAAAATCACTTTACCGCAGACAAACTCTGATAAGAAGTATTCTTCCTTAATTATGGTTACAGTAAAAATGGTGTTAAAAATTTTACATAACATAAAAATAGTGGCTTTTAAATGCCACATACCATTTGTGACTGTCTTGAGCCAATGATTTATTAGTTTTTAGGAGATTAGGAATAAAGGACTTGTGGATAGGAAGATGAGAAAAGCTAAGCATCAATCCTTTAAGAACATACTTCTGGATTAATATGCATGTCATGCTATTTTGATTGCACATTTTATCCTTGGGGGAGAGTAGTCTGGACTTTCAAGACCCTGGTATTTTATGATTCCAATACGCTTCCTGAATAATACCAAACACAAAGCTATTTTATAATCAAAAGATAAGACAAGTAAAACACTCAAGAAACTCAAGATGAAGTCTACACTGAGGCCACCAAACATTTTTAATACAGAGGAGGGCTGCATAATGCCTTGCGGTGTCTGAGATTTCCTGTACTTATCATTTACACTGCCTGGCTAAGATGCTCCAGTAGACGTAGAATAAGGAGCAGTCTTAAATTTTGGTCATCTTTCAGATGGGATTCTAAGAAAGTGAGGGAGGCCTCTAGGACCTGGGTTGTGTCTCTGGTGTCTAAAGAAAACTGATCTTTTGGTTCCCTAAACTGCTAAGAAATTAAAGTCTCAGTAGAATAGTTTGCAACAAACAGACAGACAAGGGTATAGTGGGTCTTAAGCAATCATTTTGGTCAGGTAAGAAACTGCAGTCATGAATGGTCCCCTCATGGAAAGAAGAAAGGCTGCACATTCTCAGAAATTATCGAGGCTAATCATTGGTGCTCTATCTTCGAAACACGTTTTAGACTTTTTTAGATCCCAGGTAATTGTGCAAAAATACTTTCCTACATCAGAGTAACTAAAGTTGGTTTCAATAGATTATAAAAGCTACAATGTTTAGTTTCCAGGGTTTCTCAACTTCAGCACTGTTAACATTTGGGGCTGGATGATTCCTTTTGAGGGACTGTCCTGTTCATTGTGGGATGTTTATCAGCATGCTTGGCCTTTGCACACTAGACATCGGTAACAATCCCTAATTGTGGCAACCCAAAAGTTCTCCAGACACTGCCAAATGTGCCTTAGGGGGGTACCTGTAGCTGAGAGGCCCTGAGTTAGCCAAAGAGAAGTCAGATGAGAGACACTGTAGTGAAATAAAATTTACAATGCTTCCTACCGTACTATAACCACAAGAATTCCTCAAGGTTTTTTTGAATGCTTGTTGTGTCCTAGAAAATGTGGCAAGTGCTTCTCATAATTTAATCCATTCATCAGTTCTACAAAGCATTTACTATTATTATCTTCATTTCACAAACAAGGAAATCGGCCCTATAGTTAAGTAACCTCACAAGGTCACACAGAGTGTAAGTGATATGATAGGGCAGAGATCCAAACACAGACAGTGTGTCTCCAATGCCTGCATTCTCAACCTGTGTAAGAGGCTCATTTTTCTATGCTAAAACATAGTCCTTAACATCCCACCAGTGGGTGATCTGGAATCTGGGGTTTCCTCTAAGATTGGAAGCTGTGTGTGTTGGGGGGGAAGCAGTGTTGCACTAGAGGAAAATAAAACCTTGATATAAGAAACAACCCTGAATACCATTTAAAAAATAAAACTGAGGGGCACCTCGGTGGCTCAGTCAGTTAAGTGGCCGACTTTGGCTCAGGTCATGATCTCATGGTCCATGAGTTTGAGCCCTGCCTGCATCAGACTCACTGCTGTCAGTGCAGAGCCTGCTTCCGATCCTCTGTTCCCCTCTCTCTGCCTGCTCCCCTCCCCACTCTTGCATGCTCTCCCTATTGCTATCTCTCTCAAAAATAAATAAACATTTAAAAAATTTTTTAAATAAAAAAATAAAACTGAGATTATGCATCTAAATGACAGTATAGCCTGGGGAGAAAATAAGTGTGGTCCCCTTGGAGGAGGGATTGTTAAACAGCAGAGCCATGGAACAGAATCATAAGGCTTAAACAAGCTTTCTCACTCTGTCCTTACAGGTCAGGAATAACTCCTCTATATTTCAGTAGGTTTTAGGGCTCAAACATGCCATGAGCTCTTCAGAAGGGGTGTCCCGCAGAGACACTTGATAAGCCATCCCCCCCTACCCAGCACTGGAAATCAATGTGTGTGTGAGTGTGCACATGTGCATATCAGGGAGTGCCCTCAAGTGCACAGGTGGGATTCTTGAGCAACTGGAGTTTCATCTGGAGCCTTTGGACATGCCTAGGTCCTCTTTTAAGTCTGTGGAAAGGCAATCTTCTTAACTACTGCTCTGCCAAATTTGTAACCTATGTTCTCAGTCCAGCAGTCATACTCTACGAAATCCTTTAGAAACCTAAAAATAGAGGGTCAGCAATAGGACTGTTTGCAGTAGTGGTAACTGCAATAGAAGACATCCAGGATAACAACCTCTTGTGTTTGTGCAACCCTCCATGGTTTTGTACAGTTCTTTCCCTGCTCTTTCAATTCTCACAACTCCTGTGAGTCCAGGCTGGCACTGTTGCTGTTCTGAACAAAGAAAGAAACCGAGGCTCAAAGAGATTGAATGAGTTGTGTAGATCTCCTTCTTTTCATGATGGCTACCCACTGTTTTCCCCACCATGTCACATTCACTTCATCCTTTTAGATCACAGGTAACTTTTTTTTTTAATGTTTGTTTATCTTTGAGAGAGAGAGAGAGAGAGGGAGCAGAGTGGGAGAGGTACACAGGGAGAGAGAGGGACAGAGGATTCTGAGTGGGCTCCACGCTGACAACAGAGAGCCGGATGCAGGGCTTGAACCCACGAACCGTGAGGTCATGACCTGAGACAAGGTTGGACACTCACTGGCTGAGCCACCTGGGTGCCCACAGGTTACTTAAAACAAAAACAAAAACAAACAAACAAACAAAAAACATGGTTTGGACCCCCATGAATGATCTTTCTCCACTGAGTCTGCTAAGCAGATTTGGCATGTTACGTGGGTCCCACAGCACCCTACCTGATCTGGCCTTGCCCACCTGGATGTTATAACTTTATATTCTTACTAAACATGCTTTGCCTCAGAGCCCCTGTGGCACATACACCTAATACATTGTTTATCCTAGCCTCACGGCAGTGATGTTCTGTCGGCCTGGAATGTCCTACTTCGGCTTCTAATCCTGGCAGTCACTAATTTCAGGTCCCACCTGAAAAAAGGCAATCGAGAGAGATCTCCCTTGACCTCCCATACTCACCATGCTTATTATTCTCTCTCTAAAAAGTTAAGAATAATGATTCTCTAAGGGTTTTCTATGGGACACTCTGGAAAAGAAGGAGGTAGATTCTATGGTCAAAGTTTAGGAAATGCAGTTTTATTAAATCCTTTCCTTTAAAGCCACAGCACATATCAGAAAAAGACTGAGGAGTCCTGCCCTTAAAACACCTGAAATGCAGTTTAACCCTTGTTCTGTTCCCAGTGCAGATTTAACTACTGAAACCCATTTTGTTTTTACCAAGCAACTCCTGTTAACAAGTCATCAAACTAGCATTCCATGAGACGAACTTTGATAAACCTGTTTTAAAAGATCATGTGACGACTCTTCATGACAGGGAACAAGAACCCGGGACAGTTTCCTGCTCTTTCTGCCAAGAACAGCTTTTTAGAATTGGGGAAGATTTATTTTTCTTGGATCAGAGAGAAACAGCGAGGAAGCCACCTGCTGATTTTGAGTAGGAGTTAAATCTGTACACCTAACCTCCATGGAAAGATCTCAGTTCTATGTGCTGGCTTAAACACATACAGCAGGAATGGAATATGTTTAGTGATTAAGGGCATGGCCTCTTTGATCATACAGCCTGGATTCAAATCCTGACTGCACCGTGTAACCATGTGCAAACTGCTTAACCTCTTTGTGTCTCAACTTCTTTATCTATAAAATAGAGTTAGTAAGGTTTTTACAAAAATTTTGGGGAACAATTGCCAGATATAGCAAACAAAACTACAGGAGGCCCAGATATTGCATGAAACACCCTTTATACTAAAAATTTATTTGATGTTCATCTGAAATTCAAATTTAATTTGGTATTCTGTGTTTTCCTAGAAACCCTACTTTACAGCGTTTTTGGGAGGATAATGTGACATATTCCATATTGAACTCTCAGAGCAGTGCCTGGCATGTAAAAAACATTTGAGTCACGATTGGTTATTGTCACTAATGTTACCACTTTAATCAGAGGCAGCTTTCCTTTATTCTGGTTCTAACAATTTTCTCTCTCTCTTTTTTTTTTTTTTTTGTAGGCTTCACTGAAATACGTCAGTTAGAGAAAGACAAAAGAAACAAGACAGGGGAAGGGAGGGAAAAGTAAGATAAAAACAGAGAGGGAGGCAAACCATAAGAGACTCTTAAATACAGAGAACAAACTGAGGGTTGCTGGAGGGGTGGTGGGTGTGTGATGGGCATTAAGGGCACTTGTTGGGATGAGCACTGGGTGTTACATGTAAGTGACGAATCACTAAATTTTACTCCTGAAACCATTATTACACTACATGTTAACTAACTTGGATTTAAATAAAATTTTGAACAATAAAAAAAGAAAGCTAAAAAAATAAAATAATGAACACTTATATAGTTTATGATACTAAGCAAGCAATCTTTCTTTGTCTTACTTTGCACATTTATAACATTGAGACTATAATGCCTAGGGAAAAGGCTTTTTAGAACAATTAAATTATGTTTTTTATGTTAAAAAATAATAATAAAGTAGGCTTCAGGCCCAGCACGGAGCACAATGCTGGGCTTAAACTCACAATCCTGAGATCAAGACCTCAGCTGAGATCAAGAGTTGAATGCTTAACCGACTGAGCCACCCAGGTGCTCCTGGTTCTAATAATTTTGTAAGGATTTGCCTGGGTATATAATTTAACCATGTATAGTCAAATATTATCTATAATCAATAAAAACAAGAAAGTAGTATCTTCTTGCTGAAGTCCTTAGATAGAATTAACTTGTGGTCCTTGAATACATGTTAACTGAGAGTGATGGGGGAGAAAGGAAAGCCACAACAGTTTGGTACCAATGGAAGTTAGCCTGGACTCCGGTAAAAGAGACAGAGAATTGGCCACGTGAAGTTAACTGAAACTTCCCTGTAATATCTCAGAGAAGATTCCACTCAACCAGCTTGCAACAGGTTTATAGTGTTGACAGTGTAATTTCTGCAGAGTCCCGACACTCACTTAACGCACGTGTTAGCAAGGAATACAAGTAAGTCTAACTACGGTGCCTGGGTGGCTCAGGCAGTTAAGCGTCCGACTTCAGCTTAGGTCAGGATTTCTCGGTAGGTGGGTTCCAGCCCCAAGGTCAGGCTCTGTGTTGACAGCTCAGAGCCTGGAGCCTGCTTTGGATTCTGTGTCTCCCTCCCTCTCTGCCCCTCCCCCATCCATGCTCTGTCTCTCTGGCTCTCAAAAATAAATAAACGTTAAAAAAACAAACAAAAAAGTCTAACTTGCATGGATGTCTCTACAGAAGGTACACAATATTACACACTTTTTTTTTTTAACACAGAAGTCTGGCAGCTGGTAAATCATTTGTAAATAAATTGATGATATGTTTCTGATTCTCTGTCTCTCATTTGTTGACTCATGACCTAGTAATGATTTACTGTACTAATAATCATATGGTATGAAATTTTTATTTTCTGTAGGGAAAGAAAGGAGTGCTGAATACTCTGCGCTGAGAAAACAGGAACTTCATGTTTAATTTTTAAGTAAAAGATGACTTCCCTGCAAATTATAGAAATAAATTTTGAGTACTCTTACAGTATGAAAATTTAATTATTTACTAGCATATTTTCACTCTAACAAATAAAAAAAGTGAGGAAGAGAAAGAGATTGAGAGAGCGGCTGTGAAAGACAAAGAGAGGGTCAGAGGCAGAGGGAGACTGAGCGAAGCAGAACAAGAGAAACAGACATACAAAGAAAATCAAACACAAAGAGAAACCAGGAGACACAGAGGGATTGATTCCAGGACACCCAAGTAAAACGATAAATCCCCTTTACTTTGCAAAGCCCCTTTCTATCTACTTTTAAAATAACACCAACGGTATATTTTCTTTCCTTAACTTCATGCCACCCCTTTTCCCCATAATTTGTCGCATGTTACGTTGCGTGGAGAAAAACATTATTTTAATGGTCAACCAAATCTATGCATCAGGAAGTCCTCCTCGAAGTCTCGAGTTTAGTTTCATTTTTACGCTTCAAAGACTGTTTACAAATATATTTTCCAATTTCCTGATAAATAAAAGGGAAGGGGCTACTTAATTCAGAAAAGGACAGTTTTTTGGTTTGCAAACTAATCATCATTAAACTGAATGAAGCCCGATTAAGCTCCTAGTGCCAACCGTGGCCAGCTGAGGCCTCCCCCCACTTTGAGGGAGCTCCCCCTTCCTTTGAGGCTGTCAAAAAGAACGTGCATTTAGGGCAGTTGTGAAGTAAGTGAATAAAGAACATCGACAAAGGCACATACAACCAAACCAAACACTTTTTGTCAGGACACGTTAAGTATTCGTTAGGAGGAACTTGCGAAACTTGATTATTCACTTTCTGAGTTTGGTCTCTGGGAGACCACAGGAGGCTAATATGAAACCTGACACTTGGTTATCAGCTGCTGCTGGTAACAGTTTTAAGGGGAAAAGCAATGAAAAAAGTCTACTCACCAATGTCACAAACTTCAGCTCCTTAGCTACCACACCTCGGTCTATCCAGAAGGAAAGCAGAAACAAGAAGCTAAGAGGAAGACCTGCTGTCCTGGCCGAGGGGAGCGGGACAGCGCTCATGCTGGGGAGAACTGTCTCTGGCAGGAGTTAGGAGGTGCAGTTTCCAGAGCAAAAGCCATTAGAGGGGAAGCTATTTATCAAAGGAATTGAAAGGGAAGGAGTCGCTGGGAGGAGTCAGACTCAGAAATAGTAAGGTCGCCAGGTAGCTTGGGGCGGGGCTTGGCAAGTGACTGGTGAGATAATTTTGGGGCTGGGTGTGAGCGATCACAGTCTTCTGAATTTAAGGTAGAACTGAGGCCCAACGAGGGGAAAGCTGTTGCTTAAGGTCACAAAGAGCATGTTGAGAGACTTTTTTGTAGTTGACAATTCTCTTTTCTTGAGGTGGGGTGTGATACAGTGTTTGCTTTGTGACTGTCACTTGGGAAAGGGATCAATCTTGACTTTGGAAACCTTAGGCCAGGGATTCCTCATCTTTTGGGAATCCAGAGTTATAGGCAGAGATATATGGAAGGAACTGTGGGTTCTGGCATATTTGGGGGTCTATTCCCCATGCCAAATATGGCTCCCTTTGTAAAACTCTCATGTAGCCTAGAGGGGTGTTTTCAAATTGAAGGCAAGTAAGAGAAATATTATTTTCAAAATTTTTAGTGACACCTTAAGATATTTGGGGTTCATCTGTGGCATCTCAACACTAGGATTGGAAGGACCTTTCCAAACCTGACACAATTTAAAAACAATGACAAGGACAAACTTACCTATAGCTCTCTACTGTCAGTCACCAGCTTTGGCCACTAGCCCTACATTCTTCATTCTGGGAGTCACACCCCTGCCTCTCCAGCTATGATCTCATCAGGGACGCTATAAAAGAGGATAATCCGGACTAAGGGAACTTAGCTGTCCATTTCCCCCAACCTGTCAGTTCCATCATAGGCTACAACAGGATTTGGGTGCAAAACTCCCTGTCACGATGCTTCTACTCCATCAGCAGAGAGAGAACAGTGGTTTTCCCCACAACCTATTCTCTGGTATATTGCACTTCCCTGTGACAAGAAGGTTCTGTTGTAATGTGATCACAGGATGCCCTAGAATGTGGTGTGTGGGAGAGAGGTTGCTTCTTTTGGTATGGGAAGATGTGTGTGAGGAACAAATGAATGTGTGGTTACGGTTACACATTTAAGGGGACTTGTGACCCTCTCTTTGCTGCCACATTCTTCACCTGCCACTCCCCACACTTCTCTTCAGTGGGTGGCATTTTGAGGAGATGGGTTCAGGGAAAGGGGGATGGAGATTGGGAGGTTGTCCAGGGCAGACTTGAAATTGCCACTCGGATCCCTGCTGTATGCACCAGGCCACCTGACAAAGAAGCTCCAGCACCTGTTTACCTTCCACAGACTTGGTTCTGACCCACATGCTTTAAATCACGCCAGATCCATGATTCCGTTGAATGTCTTGTTTTTTTCAAGGATCAGCCTGGCCCCTTGTTCTCCTGTCTTCTTCTTTGTCTACCTTTGGATTGATGCCTGGCACTATATTGGCTATACCAGTGCTTCCTGATAATGACTCGTTCTCTAACCTACCTATGCCATGTCCTGTTAGCGGGGATAAATCCCTTTTCTGGTCCAGACCCAACTTTCTCTGTGTCACCTCTTTTGGGCTCCTTTTAGCCCTCCAAGTAGGAACAATAGTAGCAATAGCAGCAACAACTTCTTCTAGAGAGAACCAGAAAAAGGCTGATTAGAGTGAATACGTCTCAACTTAAACTGATTCAAGTTGGAATAAGTGGATGGTTTATACTTCTATTCTCCACCCTAACTTCTACTTTGATCATCCAATTATAAGGAGAGGAAATCATAAATATAGATCTGAACACCATGAAGTTGAGTTTGAAAGCATCTCAACTCAGATAAAATTCATTTAAAAACCTTCTTTGGTCTCTGGAACCTTAAACTCATAAGGCTTTTGTAAAGACTTTAAAGAGTCATCTAAATAAACACACAGATATGGTAGCATTTAAGGTGAGACTTGAAAAAAATATTGGGATGTCGTAATTGATATCCCAATGAAGCGTGCCAATAATCTTAGTGTCAGTGATTAGCAGAACTTACTGGCTGAATCACTTTTGTTTCTTCATATGGCAAGTGTTCAGCCTCCAATTAACACGATGTTAGGAAGTCCCATAAATGGAGTAGGTTGGGTTCATCGGAAAGCAAACTTCCAGATGGAGATTTGCATGCAGGAAATTTTATTTAGGAATGCTCTCAGGATCAACAACAGAAGGGGGAAGAGAAATAAGCAGGGTTGGGCAGAGGGAGAAGGCCTCAGCTGACCCTGCTAGGCATGCTGAAACTGGAAAAGACTTTGGGAGTGGTGCTGAACTGGGGTGAGGGACCCAGGCTTTTTACCCCTATGTCAGCCACTCACTGGAGGTAGGCTGCTCCCAGCAGAGAGTGTGACCACAGGGAAGGTGGCTCTCTTCTGCCACGGCAATTCTGAAAGGAATTGACTGCTGAGTGATGTCAGACAACAAAGTCCCAAGAGCTGGGGGGAATTAATCCTTCAGCTCATGAAGGGACATGTGGGTGGTATAACACAGAACCCATGACAATGAACACATATTCATTGGAAAAGAATTCACGATCCTCAGTGGATCAAGGGTTATGAAAGTACTAAGTGTACTTCTGATAGCAAGAGTCTGGGTTGGAGTTAAGATCCACTAATAGCTATACTGGTTGTTCACCAAGTAGGCAGGCTGTGTTTAAACTCCAGGACTTGCTATACCTTTACAACTGTATTGTTTGACTCTCAGTGACCTATGGACTATTGGGTACTGAATAGTATCGATTGATCAATCGATAAAAGTTTTCTGGGGTGCCTGGGTGGGTCAGTCAGTTAAGCATCTGACTCTTGATTTTGGCTCAGGTCATGATCTCAAGTTTTGTGGGATTGAGCCCTGGGTTGGGCTCTGAGCTGACTGCGGTGGCTGCTTAGGATTCTCTCTCTTTTCTCTCTACACCCTCTCACTCTCTCAAAATTAATAAACATTAAAAAAAAAAGAATAGAAAATTTCCTCCCCTCACCTCAACGGATCATTTTGTGTGTTTTGTGTCTGTCTGTAGATCTATTTGCCCTTGGTATGTCTAGTTTATTTTTAATATTTAGGCAAACATCCAATATCCATGTCATTGGTGGAATGGGGGACAGATGGAAGATAAGCAACAATGCCCTGCCAAACGTTATGGGAGCCTGAGGCAAAAGGAAGTAATATAGATCCTGCCTTTATTCTAAACTTTGACATATTTTTATCTATTTTTTAAAGGTTATTTATTTATTTTAAGAGAGAGCACGTTGAAGAGTATGAGTGGGGGAGGGGCAGAGACAGAAGGTGAGAGAGAATCCAAAGCAGGCTCCATGCTGCCAGCGCAGAGCCTGATGCCTGGCTCGAACTCATGAACCATGAGATCATGACCTGAGCCAAAATCAAGAGTTGGACACTTAAGCGGCTGAACCACCCAGGTGCCCCAAATTTGACATCTTTTTAAATGACAGATTGTTTTACATTAATTTTTGTTTTTAAAAATACTGTGTTAAAATATTATCGATCATCTTTAGGAAGTTTTTGGCACCCCTTTACATCATGAGTGCAAGGTGAGTGCCTTGCTCTCCTCACCTAGTTCCCAGATGTGACTCTGAGAGTTGGAACCTGGGAGAGAACAATTTCTCCGAGCTCCGAGCTTTCAGCACAGAGCCCAATGCAGGGCTCGAACTCAGACTGCGAGATCATGACCTGAGCCGACGTTGGACGTTCAACCGACTGAGCCACCCAGGCGCCCCTTCTTTTGAGATTAAATGATCTGACTTCCTCTGGTTCTGTCTCTGAGGAAATGAAGGCTTGGGTAGGAGAAGGCTCGGTTTGGATGGCTCTACTGAGGCATCAAGAACTAGGGGCGCCTGGGTGGCTCAGTCGGTTAAGCGTCCAACTTCAGCTCAGGTCATGATCTCATGGTTCATGGGTTCGAGCCCCGCATTGGGCTCTGTGCTCTCAGCTCGGCCTGCTTTGGATACTGTGATTCTGTCTCTCTCTTCCCCTCACCGTTCATGTTCTGTCTCTCTCTCAAAAATGAATAAAAACAAAAAAGATATGAAAAGAACAGAGAATTTATCTGTTAGGCTGAACAAAGGTGACCTTCAGCTACCCCTTGGACTGTGATTACCTGCCTAGGGCTGGCCTCCCTCACACCCTTTTGCCCTTGTGATAACGCTGCTTTCCTCACATTCAGAACTAACCACCTGAGAGAAGAGAGGTGACAGTGACTCATAAATGAGTAGAAGCTCTGAAGAACAGAGATGTAGTCTAAAATTGTCACCCAGGAGCGAGTCTCAATTGCTCAGGCACTGGCAGGAGAGACAGGGCAGCTAGGTTTTGTCACGGTCTGTCTACTTTGCATGTCATTCCAAGGTTCCAGTCACTGGGATAACCAGGCAAATACTGCCCTAGCGCTGTTCCACCTCTAACACAGCTGTCCAGATTGAACATTGTATTGGTTCTACTGTATTTAACATGTAAAGGAAAGAACTGACCACTTACAAAAATATTATCTTATCTCATTTTGTGTAATGTGTATTGAAATATGTACATTTTGATGGTGCTTTATTCTGGGTGATGTGATTGTAAAGTGGTTTTACTTTCTTCTTTCTACTCTTCTCTACTTTCTAAATTTCTCACAATGAACAGATATTTTTATTAAAATCAGAAAAGAAATTTTTAAATGTCTAATATGAATTGTATGCTATTTCTTACTTCATTACTGGGTGCCCTCAGAGTTATAGAAAGTGGGTCTTAAAGGTCATTGACTTTATTTTTTTAATTAAAAACATTTTTTAATGTTTATTTATATTTGAGAGAGAGAGAGTGTGAGCAGGGGAGGGGAAGAGAGAGGAAGACAGAATCTGAAGCCGGGTCCAGGCTCCAAGCTGTCAGCACAGAGCCAGACGCGGGGCTTGAATTCATGAACCACGAGACCATGACCTGAGCCAAAGTTGGACGTTTAACCAATTGAGCC